AAAGGGGATCAGTTGGCTGTTGAGAGGCTTAGCCTGGGCTCTGGTGACTTGTCAGGTCTTTCCTGGGAAAACACCCCCCCAAAAAAAAAATCTGAGGGATTCATTCATTCCTCAGGGATTCAGGGGCTGGCACCTGGGGCTGGCAGCAGCTCAGTGGGCACATCAGACCTTGCTCCTGCAGGGCTCGTTCCAGGGCAGGGAGAAGAATTCCCTGCATTTCCAGTGTAAATTGTTTGGTGGTTGGGATTTCTTTTTTAACCCATCAAATGGAGTCAATTCCCCCCTCCCCGTGTCCTGGGGAGGGGTCCAGGGCTGCAGACAAACCCCCTGGCAGGGCTGGGAGCCTGGGAAAATGGCTTTTTCTTGGGGAATGGTTATAAATGACAACCAGGCCCGTTTGTCCTGCTGGGTCTCCTCACTTTTCCTTCCCCCAACACGGGTAAAACAGCTCGGGGAGGGGCCACTTCATTCCAAAGCCAGTTAGCTTGGGAGAGCTGGGAACAGACACCCCCCCCTTCCCCCCTAAAACCCTCCCCAGGAGCAGGTTTGTTGATTCCTTAGGACTCCTGATTTCTCAGCAAAAGCATCTTCATAGACCAGTAAAAAACCAATCCAGGTGGATTCTCCCTGTTTGTCTTCCCCCCATTTCCAAGAGGGAAGGATCCAATTCCCAGACTTCACTGAAATGATCCATCTAGATGGAGCTGGGAGGAGCTCAGCAGCTCCGGGGGGGCTTTGGGAGCCGTTTCCTTTTGGATTTGCTGTCTTTGCAATTGCCAATGGTTCTCCCTCTGTCCAAACGAGACAAAACACCCCGATTTTGGGGCTTTTACCAAGAACATGCATTTCCAGCCAGGGCTGGAGGAGTTTTCTCTCCTCGGTGGAGCTCTGGGAGGAGTTTGGCTGCTCCCTCTGTCCGGGAGGAGGTTCCTGGGGGTTGTGTTGCTTCCTCATCCATGATGTAACAACTTCCAAGCTTTTATTTTAATCCTGCAGGTGAATTTCTTGATGGTTTTGATGGTTTCCCAACAGGAAAAAAATAATAGGAATATTAATACTGCTATTACTACTCATAATCATCCCTGGATCCCCCTTTTCCAGCTCTGCCTGCAACGGGTGTATCTGAACTTGTCTATTTTCCCAATCTTGGTGTTTCCACCTGGGTTTTGGGGATGTTGCTGTGTTTTTCATCCCTCTATAAAGCTCCCAGCAAACATCCCTGGGGAGATTCCCAGTGAAGGGCAGGTCCCACCTGACCCACGGCTGCCTCGGCCTCTCTGGCTCCAGGTTCTGACCACGGGGCGTTTAATAAATATTAATGACATTATCAAAGAGTCAAGATTTGCCATTTTACACCCCTCGGGTTTATCAGTGGGTTTGGTTTCCAGTCCTTTATTTTATTACCTTTCTGCTCAGGAGGGAGCTTGCCAAGAACCTGCTGTTGGTTGTTTCTCCCCCCCCCCCAAGCCTTAATTACTGTTTATTTTTCCCCTTTGAAGTGGGTAAAAGAACATTTCTTGGGTGATCAGCTGGAGCATTTTTTTTGTTTGTTTCAGGCTCTTTGAGATTCCCAGATAAGTTATTTACAGGGAAATGTTGGTTTCTTACAGCTGGTCCCTGGCTGTTCCTGCCCTCTGGAGGTGCAGAGCCAGGATTTCAGTGCTCCTTTATTCCAGGAGGGAAGTTTGAGGCAGCTTGTGGGAGTTCAGGTAATGGACTCTCAGGTGTGATGTTGTGTGGATGATGGTGATGTTTGCATTTCCACTCTTCCCCTTGGGCTAAAAACCATTCCTGTCTTGATTTAAAAACCAAAATTACTGAGATTGATTTAAACACTGAAACGACAAAGGGAGATTTTTAAAACCGAAATGATAAACATGAAATTCTAAAGGCTCCAAGGCTCAGTGGGGGTTGGTCTTTGGTTGGTTTGTTTTAAAAACTGGGGTGAATGAACCTGCCAGGGCTGAGTGCTGGTGTCAGAGGGTTGAACCCTTCCCTTACCCCAGCCCCACCTCAGCACTAAAACCCCAGGAGGTGCCACGGAGCCTTTTCCTGCTCCTGGACACGGAGCAGCCAGGCAGGGCAGTGGGGCTGGTCCTGCAGTGGGGCTGGGGCTGATTCTGCAGTGGGGGTGGGGCTGGTCCTGCAGTGGGGCTGGGGCTGATTCTGCAGTGGGGGTGGGGCTGGTCCTGCAGTGGGGCTGGGGCTGATTCTGCAGTGGGGGTGGGGCTGGTCCTGCAGTGGGGCTGGGGCTGATTCTGCAGTGGGGGTGGGGCTGGTCCTGCAGTGGGGCTGGGGCTGATTCTGCAGTGGGGGTGGGGCTGGTCCTGCAGTGGGGCTGGGGCTGATTCTGCAGTGGGGGTGGGGCTGGTCCTGCAGTGGGGCTGGGGCTGATTCTGCAGTGGGGGTGGGGCTGGTCCTGCAGTGGGGCTGGGGCTGATTCTGCAGTGGGGGTGGGGCTGGTCCTGCAGTGGGGCTGGGGCTGATTCTGCAGTGGGGGTGGGGCTGGTCCTGCAGTGGGGCTGGGGCTGATTCTGCAGTGGGGGTGGGGCTGGTCCTGCAGTGGGGCTGGGGCTGATTCTGCAGTGGGGGTGGGGCTGGTCCTGCAGTGGGGCTGGGGCTGATTCTGCAGTGGGGGTGGGGCTGGTCCTGCAGTGGGGCTGGGGCTGATTCTGCAGTGGGGGTGGGGCTGGTCCTGCAGTGGGGCTGGGGCTGATTCTGCAGTGGGGGTGGGGCTGGTCCTGCAGTGGGGCTGGGGCTGATTCTGCAGTGGGGGTGGGGCTGGTCCTGCAGTGGGGCTGGGGCTGATTCTGCAGTGGGGGTGGGGCTGGTCCTGCAGTGGGGCTGGGGCTGATTCTGCAGTGGGGGTGGGGCTGGTCCTGCAGTGGGGCTGGGGCTGATTCTGCAGTGGGGGTGGGGCTGGTCCTGCAGTGGGGCTGGGGCTGATTCTGCAGTGGGGGTGGGGCTGGTCCTGCAGTGGGGCTGGGGCTGATTCTGCAGTGGGGGTGGGGCTGGTCCTGCAGTGGGGCTGGGGCTGATTCTGCAGTGGGGGTGGGGCTGGTCCTGCAGTGGGGCTGGGGCTGATTCTGCAGTGGGGGTGGGGCTGGTCCTGCAGTGGGGCTGATTGGGCTGGTCCTGCAGTGGGGCGGATTCTGCTGGTCCTGCAGTGGGGCTAGGGCTGGTCCTGCAGCCTGGAGCTCCTCAGCCACGCGGGGCCCGATCCTCCCACCCCCCTGGCAGCTCAGACCTCCCGGGATCCCAGTTCCAAGTGCTGAGGTGGGATGTGGAGCCTGGGGGGGCTGATCTGGGGTCCCCGGGCAGTGTGTGACCCTGCTGAGCCAGGACCTTTTGCAGGTGAAAAAAAGGCTTTTCTGCTCCCAGATCCAGTGCTGGTTCTGACTCCAATTCCCATTTCCAGCCTGGCTGGTTAGGAGGGAGTTTGGAATTCCCGTGTAGCCACGAAAGGAAAATCCTGAGGGCAGGAAAGATCTGGCTGAGGCCGGGACAGACCCGCCGAGCCCGGGGCAGCGCTGCCAGCTCCTCACACCCGGAAAACCACATCCCTGGGAAGAATCTGGATCCTCAGGGCTGGAGGAATCTGGCTGCTAATTAATTCTGGAGCAAACGAGGTGCCTGTTTCTCGGGGCTGTCAGTTGGTTGCCAGGAGCTCAGCTGTCCAAGCTCTCCTGGTGTTTACTCGGATCATTTTTTGCGCCCTTCGGTCCCCGGCGATTTCCAGGTGGAAATTTTCCTGGTTTTCCTGTTCTCTTGGGAATATACCCTGAGGTTTTGTACCCTGGAGAGGTGGGGGCAGATTCCTTCCCTGAGGAGAAGGGTTTGCCTGGCACAGAGATCCCTATTGTTTCCTTAACCTCCTGGATCCTGGAGTTCTTTGTTTAACCTGTCATCTCCCTCCTGCTTTACCAGCTCCTGGAACCACTGGGAGCTCGAAGGGAACACTTTGAGCTGCCCCGAGGGTGGTGGGGATTTCAGGTTGAAAACAGCAGAGAAAACCTTTAGAATTTGTCTGCTTTTGGGTGCCTGAGGGGAATTTTGCTTCCCTGGGAGGTGGTGGTTGGAGGCTCAGCAGGTGGAGGACCTGGTGCTGCTGCAGGTGTTGTCACCCAACAGGGACAGCTCAGTCGGTCCCCTCTGTCCCCTCTGCTGCCTCTCACATCCCTAAACCTGTCATTCCTGTAAATGTAGGTGTTTTTATGACAGGTTCCAAACTTCTCCTCCCTGCCCCTTCCCACTGGAGCCAGTATCTTCCAGCAGCCCTGACTGCAGCCTGTTGGATCCGCCCCGGCTCCGTGGGGATCTCCCTGCTCCCTTTATATATTATTTAATGTTGCTCTTTTTTCTTTTCCCAGCTACTTCTTTCACAAAGACAGATTTCACTCTTTAAAAAAGCAGGGGAGCGAGGTGGCCCTGGCAGGCTGGGGGGCACCTTGGCAGCTACAGCAGCAATTCCCTGATTTCCTCTCCTTTTTATTCCTTCCTTTGCAGAGCCCGAGCAGCCCCAACGCCAAGCGCCGCAGCCGCTGCTTCGTGACAAGATTGCTCTTTTTTCTTTTCCCAGCTACTTCTTTCACAAAGACAGATTTCACTCTTTAAAAAAGCAGGGGAGCGAGGTGGCCCTGGCAGGCTGGGGGGCACCTTGGCAGCTACAGCAGCAATTCCCTGATTTCCTCTCCTTTTTATTCCTTCCTTTGCAGAGCCCGAGCAGCCCCACCCCCAGCCCCCGCAGCCGCTGCTTCGTGACAAGAAGCTGCTGTTCTGAGGCAGGAGCCTGGTGCTCTGCTGGCCTGTCAGCACATTGCTGACAGCTCCACACCCCCCTTTGCCCTCACAGTTGGGATTTCTGACCATCCCAAGCCAGAAATCTGCCATTTCCCACCCGGATCCGTGGTGCTGGGTGAGCTGCTGCCCCGCTCAGGAGCGAGAACTCCGGGGTTTTTTTTTTCCCCCCCTCCTGTGCTCAAGACACTCAAGAAGCTGAAATGTCTAAAAAGCAAAACACAAAAGGTAAGATGTGTGTGGATGTGACATCATCAACTGCCAATGAGCAGCAGTATTGATTGTGAAGTTATCAATTAGGGAAGAGGTTAATTGCTGCTGCTGGACTCCTTTCAAGGCTGCTGGTGTCACTTGACAGTTGATTGTCACTCTCTCAGTGACACTCTCTGACCTGTTGGATTTTGTGACATTTTTAGCAGCATTTCAGTTGTCCAGCTGGACAGTTCTGACTTCACCACTTCCCTGTCATGTTAATTATTGCATCACTTGCCCAGCCAGAGGCGGGGGGGGGGGAAATATTGTTGAGCAGCTGCAGAGTCACGGAGCCAAATGTGAGTGTTTTCCTGGGAGTCCCAGCTTGGTGCCTGAGTTCCCCTCCCTGGGATGAGCTTGAGAGGGGGTCTGGGAGTCCCATGGGATAAACTCCACTGAAACTTGATGCCATTCCTGGGCAGCCTTTGTCCAGCCTCTCAGAGGGGCCTGTGGATGCTGGGATTTGGGATGAGCTTGTGGCATCTGTGCCAAGAACTGAGGCAGGAAACGTGGGCTGGAGAACCAGGCCCTGTTTGAACCAGACCCATTAAAACCTTTTTCCTTCAAGATGGATCCAGAGGGACAAGGAGGAAGTTGGGGAGAAGGTTTTTCCCTTTGTCTCCACCCCCACCAGCCAGTTTTCCTTCCCCTCTGACACAGCAGCTCCAGGGCCAAGCAGCTCATCCCAGGGAGGGATCTTATTTGTCGTGTGTGAAGCATTAATTCCAAGGTGTGTGTGGAGTGGGGGAGGGGAGGGCTGAGGGTTACGCTTCTCTTTTTATTTGCACTGATGACTAATTAATAATTTAAGTCTGACAATTCATGTCCTCTACCTCCAGAGAAGAGCTTTTGTTCTCTGTAGATTTTTCTTCCCCCAGCAGCTTTGGCATAGAAACAGTGTCTACCTGAGGAGCCCAGCTGTCCTCTGGCAGCCAGAGCCAGCCATGATTCCAAGCAATTAAGAGCAGTTATGGAAATTCTAGGATAGGATCATTTTGGAGTGTTTTGTTGTTGTTGTTTTTTAAACCCTGGGTTTTGTCTCTGAGCTCTGAGAAGCCTTGGGAAGGAAAGGGACTGGAAAGGGAGCCCAGGAGTCTGTGTGGAGAGGAAAACCCACCTCAAATCAGCAGGAGAGAGTGAACATGGCTTGTAGGGGGGAAGAGGAATCTTAGGAAGCAAGTGGGGAGAACCATGGGAAGCTGGGAGTGGGTGGGAATTCAGGGCTTGGCAAATCCCCAGGGAAGGAGGCAGCCTGTGCTGTGCTGGGCTTCTGCAGGACACAAGGGGAACTGGGCATGGAGCAGGAAT